GCTCAGCGCAGCTCATGGCATGGCTCTGCACACAATGGCACAGCACAGCACCTCCCTACTCAGTACCTTGGCATGCCGTCCTTTAGCTCAGGGACCTGAAGTGAGCTGCTTGGCTCATCTTGGTACAGCCCAGCTAGCATATTTCAATTCAGTCCAGCTCAACCCAGCGTGGCCTGATATGGAAGGCTGGCAAACCTCAGTGTAGCACGATACATCACAGCTCAGCTCAACGTGGGATGGCAGGGGGGCCAGCATGAGTTAACTGACCCAGCATGGCTCAGCCTGGCATGCCTCGGTGCAGTTCAGCTGGGTTGGCACATTCTGGCTTGTCTCAGCTCAGTTCAACATGACACAGGGCTGGCAAAGTTAAGTTTGGTACAGCACAGAACAAGCAGGGGTCTCATCTAGCTTAGCTCCAAGCAGGGCTGGCAGAGTTCAGTCAGCAGAGCCTGGCCTGGCTTGACTTAGCTTTACCATGCACAGGTTCAGCTCAAAATGACCCAGTTCAGCACAATATGGTGCCACTGGGAACACACACCAGTAGGGACTGCTTAGCACAGTTTAGCCTGGCATGGTGGCAGTTCAACAGCACTCAGGTAGGTACGAGGGGGTGGCAGTAGGGCGATGCAGCCCCCCTGGCTCCCCACCATGTAGTCACACTGGTGCCTCAAGCTCCATTGCCTGCAGGCCAGCACATGCTGCTGGCTTCTGTCTGACCTACCCATGCCAGTCCCCACCCTGTCCATATCCTGCCGGGCACCTTAGGGCATACCTGGCAGTTTGGCCGTTCTTCACCCTTGTCTTTTCCCTGCTACACCCAGGAGAGGCAGCTGTACCACGGGGGGAAATTGAGGCAGGGGGAAGAGCCGGCAACAGCAGCCAGGGATGGTGGGAGTGGATCGGCATGGATTCCCAAGAGTCCTGCTCCTCCCTTCCTGCCTGGGGCCATGACTCTTACTCATCTCCTTCCCAGACAACCGGCCTGGAAAGCTCTGCTCTGCAAGCAGCGCCTGCAGCCCTGGTTGCCTGCCGCGGCCTGGGAGGGTCAGCTTGCAGTGCCAGGCTGGTTCATTCAGTGCTGGAAGGGTCTCAAGTTTTTCTTGGTAGTCCCTGTCCACAAGCACCTGTCTTGAACTCTGCCTGCTCCCTGTGCAGTCAGACCAGTACAGCCAGAGTGTCACAGGGCACAGGGGGAGTGGTACCTGGGCTATTTGTAGTGCTAGAGCCCACCCAGGAGAGATTCATAGCTCCCCCCATACAGCCTTGACATGTCCACCACTGACATGTCCACCACCCCAACCCCACCTGCCTTGTAATGCCCCCAAATCATGACTGGCTGCTGCCATGGCCAGACTTCCCAATGTTCACTGGCTTGTCTGCCCCTTGTGCGCTTTCCCAAATGAGTAACAAGGGCTGCCTGGCCAGGCAAGAGGGCTCTTGTGCCCTGGCTCTTCACATGGCCCCATAGCACACTTAGCACCACAGACACCCCTACACAGCCCTCCCAAGCCCTTAGCACTGTGCCCAGCTGGCACCAGAAAGAGTGGGCAGCAGACACCAGTACCATCCCTCCAGCTCTCCCCATGTCCCTGTGCCTTCACCAGTGATTCCCAACCAGTGTGCTCACCCCCTGGCCACTTCCATCCCAGCAGGAGAGCAACAGTGTACTGTGGGTCGGGGCACAGCACCAGGGGCTCTGGAGGTGGGACTTGCTGCAGCTGCCCACAGCACACTGTGGTGTGCCCAGAGGGTCTTTCCCAGGCAAGCACTGTCCCCAGTACAGAAAGTGACTTGAATGGCCCATGCCAGAGAGAGAGTGAGCATCACGCTCACCTCTCAGCTTTGAGCAGGTTTTGGCAGAAAGACCTGGAAACTGGTCAAGGTAGGCAAAGTTGCGGGCATGGTGATGATGGTGGCAGGATGATGCCTACAGTGAGGTACTTCTGGCTTACCCAGACATACTTACCACTGCTGGGCTCAGGGTCGCTCTGCTCACCCATGTGTCTTAGTGCCAGCTGGATAGAGTGAGGCACTGGGCAGCCTGGCTGTGCTGCGGGGCTGTTGGGGAGCAGAACTCCAGGCTCTGTGCCTGCTTGGGGCAATGCAGACCAGCATGCAGCAATGGGCACAAAGGTGATGAGCCGCTGATGGAGTGTCAGCACAGAGTGGAGGTAGCTGGAGGGACTCTCATTGCATGAAAGCACCCTCTCAGGCTCTGTCTGGCCCCACTCCCCTGGGACCCAGGGAGGTCCTGCCTCTTTAAAACCTGATTGAGTCCATGCCTTTAAAATGGGCCTGGGCAAGGACCGCCTATCCTGTAGGAGGAGGCTGAGCTGAAAGCAGGTGAGCTGAGTGAGCTGGTCCTCCCACCCCACCCCACGCCCCTACCCCAGCACCTTTGCAACTCCCATAGCCAGGCTCTGTTGGGCTAGCTTTGCTCCTGGTCTGGATTTTAATCTGGAATTTGTACCTCTTTTTGCATACAGATTCCCCCCACCTTTCTGTTCCTGTACCAAGCTGAAGCAGCCAGTGTGGTTGTCCTGTCTTGATAGGAGCTGGAAGCACCCTGGGATCCTTTTGCTGGTGCCCACAGTCAGCTCTGCCTCCCAAGTGAGGAGAAGTATAACTGCAGGTTCTCCCTAATTCTTCTGCTGGCCAGCCCCACCTTGTCCCTCTTACCTGCTCCCTGCCGACACTCACCTATCATGGCTATGCCCTACCCTTTCACCAGCCTCCTCCTTCTCCTTGTTCTGCCCCTTTCCCAAGCTGCGAACCAGTCCCCATTGCCCCTTGGCTCCCTGCCTGCTGTCCCCACCCTGCCCCTCCTGCAAGCGCTGCAAACGCGGGCTCCAGGCAGCCCAGGCTGGCAGGCGGGACCAGCCAGCGGGCAGCCCCTGCGCTACATGCTGAATCTGTACCGGCGTGCTGCTGACCGCGAAGGCCGACCCCGCCGCAGCCGCAGCCGCAGCCTAGGCACCAACACCATCCGCCTGGTGCAGGCCAGCTCCCATGGGGGTCAGCCCTGGGCAGGTAAGGAACCGGTGAGCACTAAGGATGGTATGTGTGCTTAGCAGATCTAGCAGGGTGGGCTTGAGCTCTGAAGGTGAGGTCTCTTGCCTGCTTCCTTCCCCCTCTCTACAGTGTCCTGGCTGGGGTTTGCTCTTGGCTGTGGGGTTCCACTTGGCAGGAGTCCAAGGCTCTGCCCCAGGGGTGAGATGGGCAAGGGCATAGCTGGCCCTTGTGTGCCCTTCTCTCCTTCCTACTCTGCCTGATGCTCTGCCAGGCTAATGGTGTTGGTGGAGAGGATAGGAAATGTTGCAGACTCTTTGCCCTTCATTCCACCAGCAAGCCTTGTCTCATGGCTTCTGTTTGCTGCAGCTTCTGCCTTGTGATGGGGCAGATGGCTGTCACAGGCTCTGCTGTGCTGTGTGGGACTGTGGCAGCACCATGACAGAAAGGGGTGCTCCACAGTGCCTCCTGCTATGCTAACAGGGTACTGGTCACTGCTTCCCTGCAGGTCGCTGGTACTTGCAGGCCCTCACCTACCACATGGAGGGCCAGCCAGAGGTCGAGCACCTCCTCAGAGCTACTGTGGTCTACCTGCCTAGTCTGTCACTGGCCCACGGTCGCCTTCTCTGTGCTCTGGAGCTGGTGATGGCTGGTGAACCACCCAGGATGCTGCTCAGCCCTACTGCCCGTTCCCGTGATGGCTGGGCCGAAGTTGATGTCACCCC